TATTATTAAATGTCTATAGTTAAAAATTCAAAGAAATATGGTCATAAATAAGAAAGTTGTCAGCCCGCGGTTTGGGCATGCGCGCATTTGATTTTTACTATACGCGATATGCTTGTCTTTACTAGACACATATATGGTTTAATTTTCGAAGACATATCTATAAATAACCTCGAAGATCGGTAATAAATATGAAATTCAAATTTTTGGAAATAATACCATTTTTAGCGCATTTTTTAAGAATTAAAAGAAATGTGGGACAACTAATTTGTCTCAGATTTTGCATGTACATTCCTCTAGTGATGCTATGTGAAAACTTTTGAAAACGGGGGGAGAGAGAGGGGGTAAATACACATTCTACCCTTCACAGTATTCTAATAAAACTATAACCTTCCTACGCGACCGGAGGGGGGGGGGGGGGGGTTATGTTTCATGGTATTCTAATTAAAAGAAACAAAAGGAACTGTATTCTAGGTGTCAATGAAAGGAACAAAACTTTTCCAATCAGAGTCTTGTTCCTCGACCCCCTATCGTGATCGATAATAATTATAATTACTTATATCACAAAGAGTGGATTGTCGGGAAAGCATACTCTCAAAAGGCGATTGGATCGTCTGGAAGAAATATATACATTGGTGATGTTTGTCGGAAGAGGGTACTCGCAAAGGCAAAATGAATCATCTGAACGAGACATACCTATCTATTGATGAAGTCCAACCGAATATCTTGAAAACGAAGTGTCAGAAGAGAGCACTCATAAAGCGCAAATGGAACGTCAGGACGAGACATATCTAATGGTAATATCAAAACGTTCAGTCCAAATATCTGCAGAACGGAATTGTCGGAAGAGGGTACCCTCAAAGGGCGAAAAAATCATCTAGACGAGACACATCTACCGGCGATGTGAAAATGAATAAGGTTAACAAATGTAAAGCATCGCAAATTACATTCCGTCTATTGTTTTTTAAGAGATAATTTTTAAAAAGAATAGACTCAAGCTAAAAAAGATTAAATAAATAAATGTAGGTATTTATTTCTATATGTATACCTAATCTATTTCTGTAAATTTATTTTATTATATCCAGCAAGGAATAGTACTTTTTGTACTCATTGAATGGAAAGATAATGTTTCCAAGCATCCTCGATGCACGGGAAAACGACTTTCCCGCATCGCGGTGTTTTTTAGTTTCCGCTGGAGAGAAGGGGTTATGCGCGTTCTTCGGTTGGTAGTACTTATTGAAGTCAACGAACGTCATGTCATGGTTAACTGTCATCTGCTGTAAAATCAATTAAACCGTTGGTTGAGGGTATTTAGTGCGATTAATCGGAAACAGACGTACACTAAGTTTTACGTAAATATATAAACAAGAACTTATAACGCAATCAAATTATTTTTCAGAATTGGAACTCAAGAAAAAGTAAAATTTACTGTTAAAACGTCTTAAAATGTGACCAGTGATATTCTGCAACTATTCGCATATGCAGTTTAAGAAAGCACATATTAACACACACAAAGCTTCCAAGGATTTTAAATGTAACGAGTGTATTTACGCAACTCAAGATATTCAGTGCAAATGATGCAATGCCGTGACCAGTAGTAGCACTCATTGCAAAGGCAAAATATGTATTAACCAAAGATGTGGAAGTTTTAAATGTGACCAGTGCATTATTAAAAGTGGGTAGTTACAAAATTATGTTACCAACCAAACATATGATTGTGTTACCAACTCATGATTAAAAAAAAGCTAATTTACAAAACTTTATTAATTTTGACCTTTTTTTACGCAATTCGTTACAAAAAATATTGTACCTAACTCTTTCGGAAAGAATTTTCCCGCATTCGCACTAAATGCAGCACTCCCTACGGTCGTGCTGCAAACAAAGTGCTCATGCGGGAAAATTAACTTACCGAACTTGTTAGGTAAATAACTATTGTGTACCAAGGCGGGAAAGTGGTTGTTTTCCGGGGCGAAGGAAGATATGGCCAGGCGAGGCGCAGCCGAGGCTGGCCACTTCCTGAGGCCCGGAAAACAACTTTCGTGCCGTGGTGCACACAATATTTTTTATCCTATACACTTACATTTAAAATATTAATCCCTCAACAACGTCCGACCGCAAGCGCTTGAATTTGGATTTGCTTTATCGCGTCAACATGCACGCGTTTGTTTTGTTTATTTCCACGTTTCCTGCTGACTATGCGAAAATTTTACGAAACGGTGCAATCTAAGTGGGCCCACGAATATATTTTTTACTCGTAGATTTACCCCTTTCTCTTATAATACAGTTCAACGCAAATTCAAATTCTAGCGCGCTTGCGATTGCACAGTGCGGAGTCATCGAAGGGAGTCACGGTGCAACACAGCACTGGTGCAAGTGGAGAATACCGATCATGTGCGAACTGAGTTGACATTTCCGGCATTTCACTGGCGCGTGATTATTTCCTTAGAAAATAACGAGATTTAAGGGGTTGTAATTAATACCAGGCGCATTTGAAATTATTACTGGTCTTGTGTATTAACAAATGTGTTTTAAAATTGAATGTGTGTTTTAAGGGAGAAAATCACACCGGTTACATTTTAAATCCTTGGCAGGATCCATGTCTTGTCCAATGTTAGATGCTTTTAAGACTGGATTTATGCTTGGTAACGAACGCGCAATGGGCACATTTTAAATCCTTGATGATCTTGTATTTTAAAAAAATGTGTTTTATAAATAGATTTATTCATTCCTTACAGTCACACTGGACACATTTTAACTTCGGGGTAGTCTCGTATGTTAAAATGCTACTTATTGCGGATAAGCGGTGTTCTACTTACAGTACAAAGTACATCTTGGTGTTAAATGTATTGACACAGATGCTCGTTATTGAAAGTAAATGGGAGATTATGACTTAGTTTGAAACGTTTGAATGGTCACGTGATATTGGGAAAGTATTCAAATTCACGAAACATTGATAGGTATAGATGCGCGGTATTTAAATAAAATCTTGAATTCAGTAAAATAAAGTGAACATAGGGTAAATTTAATTATTAAATCAGTGTTGACGATTTTATGTTTCTTATTTAATTAAAAAGAAATAACTTCTTTGACATTTTATTACAACCGCGCCATCTAGCTTACATAAGGCGTATTTTTTTTCTCGCCTAGCCGACAAAATTGAATTTTCTCGCTCCATGCGTGCAATTGTCTTCTTTCGCGTCCTCACACAGGCGAGAAAATGTAAGTTTCTCCTTATATAGGATAAAAAAGACTTTATTTTCAAAAATTACTAAAAACCCGAAAGGTTTAATTTAGTGTATCTCCTAAAACTGTAGGTACATATTAACGGACCAAATAAAATATCAAATTAAAGGTACTTTTATACACTACAATTTTGAATAAAACATGATTTTACCCCAGTGTTGCCGTTGGCGAGTTATTTTAGAAAAACCAAAAAAGTTTTTGCAGATTTTTTACCACAGAAATGTCTCCCGACGGCGACGTCAGTCGCATTGGCAATTTGAATTTTTCTCTCTCTTTACCATTTAAGCAATTCGAAAAAATAAAATCTTCTACCGCACCTTTTACAAATTGACTGAACTACATGTCGAATCAAAAAATTTGTTTTTTGTATGTACCTACTCCTCGAGTAAAAATAGTTCTAGTGTTCGCATATTAAAATAATGTCTTCATCCCCCTTCCCCCGTTCAAAAACTCGACGTTAAACAAGATGACTTCCAGGCTTTTATTTCAGAATATATATAGAGAACTCTTGTGTTGATTGTATGTCAGCGGAACGGATCAAGAACACTACGGATCGGTTGTTTTCCTTAAAACTGGTAGTTAATTTCCACGGAAACAAACGTTTCACCTCGCGTTTCACATAGAAAATTATTTATCAGATAAGTTTAAAAACACCTAATTTAAAAACACCTAAAAGCGGCTCCAAGAGAGATTGGCACTGTGTGAAGTAGGCCTCTACCATTTTCAAAATTAGTGTTGACTTACGTACCAATCCTATAGGCTAGGTCTTTCGAAGAATAGAGAATTGTGGGGGTGCGAAACTAATTCGAATTGTTCACATTAAACAAAAGGTTGCATATTTTATTCAGTAAGACGCATAGTAGTTTACAGAACCTAATTATTCTTATCAACGTGAAGGCCGATTCATCGACGGCACGTGTAGATTCGGAATGCAACGTTGAAGTGGATTTACAGGTTCTCAAAGTCTCACCATTCGTACCAGGTTGTGTATTATCTCCTCGTTTTAAGCAATTAAAGAAAAAACAAAAAAGTCCTTTCAATTTACTGGAATTTGTCGACAACAATTACCACGAACGTAACAGTTTGATGTACCTGTTTTTCAGGGACATACGCAATCTATAAATTTTAATGTGTAACACACGGTTTGAAATGCAAGTAATAAAGTAACGTTTTAATCTTTATGTGTTACTTTATAGGGAATAATTTTTACATTTTAAGTCGGTAACCTTGAAGAAAAAGCCTATTGCACATAGAAAACTGGAAATAAATTACCTAACTAGAATTGTTATGGCATTACAAGAGCGTCCACCTGAGCGACGACCATCAACCAATTAAAAAAAGATAAGCAGGTTGTAAATTGCCTACACACGAATCATCAATCGATTAGTTATACATTCAAAAAACGAAGCAAGTTCATTCATTGATCGAATGTGGATTTAACGTCCGTTAAAATTTCATTTGTAAACTACGATAAAAATCACGTGGAACAGAAACTGACCGAAAGTGGGTCCAATCCAATCGCACTCTACTCGCTTGATATAGTAAAATTTAGAAAAAACTAAAAACCTTAACTACCATTCAGGAAGTTCCCAAACCAAAAACGGAAGTTAACACGCAACGGACGTTTAACCACCCGCAAAATTTAAAGGGAAAAACACGCTTGTTATTATTATGATATACTGAGTCACATAAATTCTAAGAATTAAGGGTTTGAGTAGCAAAATGGCAAGTTATTAATTAGATCGGTGCTGGATACAAACCTGGAAACTGCACAAAGTGAATTAACGAGATATCGTATCATATACTGCACCGTGATAATCACATTTTAGCCTTAGTTGCTTTCACCCCGGCAAAACCAAACTATTAACTCCTGCTAACTATGTTACGCAAATCTATTTAATTAATAACCCAACTGGCACTTTTATTTATTTCGCAAACCTTTAATTACAATGCGATGAAAAGGACAAACTAAACTTTACTTTCAATTGATGTCGTGTCGTACCTCTACACTCTACCACTAGCGTAATTAGTTTTTGGTTTAAAACCTGGTGATTACTTTAGTCCGTAACCGCCATTTATCTTCGTAAAAACCGTGGAATGTCGCTAGTTGTTCTAATTACAAAGATGAGAGATGCTCACTAATTTTGATGACGATATGGCAAAATAAATTTTCTATATAATAAAGAGTCAAATGGTGTGATGAGTGACCATACGTACTGTTTTGATATACAGGTATGGAAACAAATATTGCGGGTCTGACTATGAGTGGGAGAGAGACATAACTTTACCAATGTTGACATTGACAGTTGTCTTTGATACTAGCCTACTCAGAAGACGCACGAGTGACGCCAGACAAACCTATACGATGTGATTGACTATAAAAGAGACTATGGATACATTGGTGCTTTTTTGAGCCGAATCAAATTTCTTTTCGCTTTTTAGAGTATTTCAACGACACAACTAGACTACATTCTCATAACAGTCAAGGGAAAAGACAAATACAAAATTTAAAAAAATAATGACCATTCTATACGGTAAAACAATATAAAACGACGTTTACTAACAAAACGGCGGTGATGATAGGTAATATAGAAAACCTGAAAATTCCGATTACTTCTGAAGATATATCAGAAAAACCGAAATTTGCCATTTTTGTTATCTTTTTTTGACGTGCGAGCAGTAATAACTCGAAAAGGAAGTGACTAAACCAAAAAATCTTTCGTCGTTCTGGTCTCGGGGTTGTGATACAGCTACACCATATAAGAAAGAAACCACAACGAAAAAGGTTAAACTGGAGGGCTATTAGTGGACTAGTGGTACAGACGAACAAAGTGCGGACAATAACGTTCATTTTCCTTTTGGAAAATGCGCTAAAACACTCTCCCATTGTCACGTTTTGAGCTCTACAAGAGAGATGTTCAATACAACGTTTCGTTTCGGAAATCATCATCATGTTTATTTCTTCATATGGCGCTCAAAAAAGTACCTAGTGTATTGAGTAGCGTTTTTATTATTACAAATACAACGATATACAAAAAAGACAAAAGATGAAAACTCTCCCTCGAGCGAGAATACATATCGGACAAATTTGTCCATTTTCGAAGATATTTGTCTTCTAGATATTCTCAGTCCATTAGGGCGTTGTACGCGGGTGCACCGTCCTGTTGAAACCAACAGAGTTTTCAACTTTTGTTTTTTTTGTACCGTACATCGTTGTATTCGTAATAAAAAATGGTACTCAATACAGTATGTACTTCTTTTGCGGACCATATAAACAAGTATAAATTGTGCACAACTCTTGTACAGATAAAGCGCATTTTTTTTAACGGAAATAGCTTTTGTTTTGACATCACCAATGGATATATTTCTTGCAGACGTCTTAATCGCCCTTTGTGAGTACTCTCTTCTGACAATCCGTTCTTGAGATATAAGGGAATATACCCGATCACGATAAGAGGTCGAAGAGGAAGGCTATGGTTGGTAGAAATTAATTCATTTCGTTGAGACCTTTCATTAGAGTACCATGAAGGATAAAACTAGTTCCACTACCCCACTCCACCTCGTACTTTGATAAGAGGACAGAAACAAGGGCAGTAGTTTGTTGAAAACGGTCCCTTTCGTTGAGACCTTTAATTAGAACACAATGAGAATTAAATTTTAGGTGGGAAGAATTAAGTGGAAAATCGCGCGTCTCAATCGTAAATTCAAACTACTACAATAATTCAAAAACAGTATAAATAAGAATGAAAAAGAATTACGATAGCGGTTCGTTGAGCGGGCCAAGTTGAGTCAAAACTGGGAATAGCGAGTATACATAAATTTAATAGTGCCCAATTAACTCGGCGATAAACCAAAAATAAAAAGTGCTACTGGCCGTACAGGGATACAAAATGTTATCTTTACTATCGGGCGATCAAAAATGAGTGACTATCGAGTCGCCTTTGAAAGTTGAAGTTAAGTACGATTTCCCATGTAAACAAAAATTCCAAAGGTGACTCGACGGTCACTCATTTTTGATCGCAATGTATTTCCGTTTTGTGCGAATTATCGGTGAATTAAACTCATCACAAGATAAATTTAATTATCTGGCCAGTAGGATATTTTGAGTTTAATTATGAATCAATTTCTTCTTGTTCCTTTTAAAGTAACTGCAAGGATTATTGTAATTTCATTTAGATGCAAGGAGCATCGTCCTTCCCCTTCTGCGAAGGCAACGACTAGGTATTTCAACCTTAGAACGTAACTACCGTTACAAAAATCAGAAATGACATATCCAACAAAATCGAGGTGAAGTCGCAAATGTAATTTCTCTGTTATGGCTACTAACAACATTGAAGGTGCGCAAATTGACACCCTGTATATTAAGAATAACAAAATCCTATATTTTTTCTATAACGGCTCATTTGTTTTTAATAAAATTTTGTTCAATTCTATTCTATCAATCAAAATTGGCCGCACATTTTGAAAACCAAGAATATATTTCCAATTATTTAGCAAATCTGACAGATTTTTTATCTGGACTGTGCCGAGACGTTATTAGGTTATTACCACATTAGCATGTTCCCGAAAAAACAATCGTTGGATTTCGCGACCGACTAAATTCGAAACTTATACATATTCACGTAGTTTTTTTTAAATAAAAAAATGTAATCGAGCTGGTGGAAATTGTATTTAATCAATCCTTAGCTAAAGCCCGTTTTACATGCTGAAAAGTATTTCATGAAATTCTAAAGTGAAAAAACTTGCCGGAAATTTTCGGATATGCTTTACATGTTGCAACTCTATTTCATCGACAAGTGAAATTTAGCTAATCCCAACCAAAAAAATATGAGTTAGATCGACGCCATTCATATCCTGTTTCTGTTTTAATCCAGTGCAGTTTTAATTTTCGCTCAATAATCTGCATTTACGCCCGTCCGTCCGTAATTGTCTCAAAACTCGCTGTTTTGCAAGCGAAATTCTAGAAAGTTTTAAAAATTGTATAAAAGAATAATTGTGTATGCGTGTGCGGAAAAAATTCGAGAGAAGTTGAAAAACAATTTAAAAAAAAACTAAGAAAATTTAAAAATTTTTAGAAAATTCAACAAAATGCTAGTACTGTACACCAAAATTTTTAACTCGGGGTAAACCACAAATAAAAAAACTAGACAATTCTAAAAAAAATCTAAAATGTCTAAAAAATTCAAGACAATTGTAGTGAAATTTAAAAAAATTCTAGAAATTCTACAAAATGCTATTAATGTATCCCAAAATTCTAGTGGTTTTCCCTCAGGGTTAACCACTTTAATTTATGTACACTAAAATTCTAAAAAAGTTCTAAGAAATTCTAAAAATCGTATAAAATAGTAATTGCGTGTGCGGTTGCGTTCGGAAAAAAATTCTAGACAACACTAATTCTAGGAAATTCTAAAAAATCTAGAAAATTCTGCTAAATGGTAAGTGTCCAACAAAATTCTATTGATTTTTCCCTCAGGGTAAACCACTTCAACTTTGTGTATACTAAAATTCTAAAAATTGTATGAAATAATAATTGAGTGTGCGTTTGAGTTTAGAAAAAAATTTAGACAATATTAAACATTCTAAAACGTCTTTAAAAACATTCTAAAAAATTCTAGAAAAAAATCTACAAAATGCTACTAATATATACCAAAATTCTACAGTGATTTTCCCGTCGACGTAAACCACTTCCAATTTGTGTATACTAAAATTCTAGAAACTTCTAAACACTTGTATAAAATAATTGTTTGTGCATGTGCGTTCGGAAAAAATTCTAGAAAATTCAAGAGAAGTTGTAAAGAAATTCTAGACAATACTAAACAATTCTAGAGAATTCTAAAAAATTCTAAAATATCTAAAAAATTATAGACAGTTTTTTTAATAATATAATATTTTAATATAATATAATAATATAATATTTTATTGACGGCCAAGCCAATTTATACATACATTATTAACAATTAACAATAGTATTTTAATAAGTATTAATAACAAGATATAGATATTAATAAATAATACAATAAAAAATTACACAATAATAATGATATAAATAACACAATAATAAATTACAAAATAGCAATGAAAAACCAACAATTAGTAACTATAATTTGTATATCTTAGATTAGAATAATTTATGACTATAATATATTTAGTTTATATTTATAATAGAAATTTAGATTTTAAGGTAGGCGTGATGCATTTGGTATTTAAAAAAAAGATATCTGTCACTGTATCTATTACATAGGGTTTTTTTAATGAATAGTTATTATTTACTACATCTGCTTTGAAAATGGTCCTTGTTCCTTTTGTTGGTAATGAAAACTCAATTAAACATAGTAAATTTGGACACTTAATTTTTCCACCACATAATTTTGCTGCAAATAAAATATCTGATATTGTTCTTCGATCCTCTAGTGATAAAATTGAGTATGTCGAATATTAATTGAATATGAGTTTGGCACAGTTCTAAACAATTCTAGACAAATTCTACAATATGCTGATAGCGTACAACAAAATTCTACAGTGACTTTCCCCTCGGGGTAAAGCACTTCAAACTTTGTATATATTAAAATTCCAAAAGATTTTCTAAAAAATTCTAGAACATTTTAAAAATTGTATAAAATAACCGCTAACTGCACTAGTGTACAGGGTGGGGCAAAACAACTTGGTTATTTCAGTTGACAGTACTAAAGCGACGACTGTTGACACTGCTGTTATAAGGTTGGCAGTAACATCGTTCATTAACGTCCCTTGGTGTGCGATATCGTGGGTTGGAATACTTGGTCCATGTTTTTTTGAAGAGAGCACCTAAGCAGTCACTGTGCTGCAGACCGATTCTTGCAAGCACTTGAAGAAATGGGTGTGGG